CCATCATCAACACCAGGAATCGTCGTTTTTCCCTGTGATACGAAGTAGTAGTCATTGATGTCGTTGGACAACAGGCACATCTCTATGGAATTTTACATTTTCAATAAAATAGACGAACGACAACTGATGAAAAAAATAATGATTCATCGCAGAAACACGGTTTCCGGCTTCAGTCTTAAAAACTATTCTATATGTACTTTAAAATCGAGAATAATCTGGAAATGGTACCCAGGGCGATGTCAATCTCCTGTTGCTGTAAAGAAAGTCCAGTAATGAGTGAAGTAAAAAATTATTTACCCTTGAGTCCCTTGACGGAGCCGGACATCATCTGGTAGAAGATGTGGTAAGAACGCTCCAGCGCCTGTTGAGAGATGACACGGGCCTTCTCCAGCAGGTCTGATATAAAAAAAATATTCATTATTCAAGATCAATAATCGCAGTTAGAGAATACTCACAGGTTTCAATGTCAGCACCAGCCAATTTTCCAGAAGGACCGAAGTGGATACGGATGAATTTACCCTGAAGAGGAACATGAGATCAATTTAATCCTTGACAAAAAATCCTTCAAAAACCAATGAATCCAATAAAATCTCTAAAAAAATAACCGACAGTAACGAAATATCGAAATTACGAATCACGACGATTAATCGTTGCCTCAATTTATCATATTCATTTTGATTCCGATCGTTGTGAGAATGACTCTCGTGTTTTCATGGGGTTTGAATCAATTTTTCTAGGAGTGTGAGATGATGAACTTACGAAACGTGACGAGTTATCGTTACGGACGGTCTTGGCGTTACCGAAGGCCTCAAGTACAGGATTGGTCTGGACAACCTGATCCTCAAGAGATCCCTTCTTCTTGCTGGTCTCGTCGGTCTTCTTCGTTGACGCACCGACAGTGGCGAAGTACGCAATTACTTTCTTCGTGTTCTCAGTCTTACCAGCTCCAGATTCACCAGTAATCAACATAGACTGATTCTCGCTGTCTATTAAGATAATCATAAAATCAATCATCAATAATAAACTTCAATCAATCAACCTGAGTAATTACAGATAAACTTCAGGGGCGGAATGAAATAATAGTTGAATCAAATAGAATGATAATTGGAGTGAATTGAAGAGAATTATGAATTAATTAATGCAGCTATCAATT